GGGGTCACAAAAAGAATGTAAGCCAGCTAACCAAATGACCACTAGGCTACCCAACCAGAGCGTTTACCTGAGCTGAGACTAATGCAACTCAGCTCAGCCGACTTGTATCAATTTTCTCACTTTACTGGTCTTCATGTCAGCCAACGCCCTCTTGTACATGATTTGACAAAAGCGGTGACACGTTCTTGTGATTCCACAAACATCCTTGAAACCATTCGTTTTCGTGTGAATGAAGAGAAACATAGAGAGCACTGTGTCTGAGGGTAGAAAGAAACCGAACGAAATCCCGTGTGGTGACAGAACGAGTCTGTAGTAGATTTCAAGAACGAGTTTATGTACAATTAGGTGGGTCATACCTCGATTGTGATTACGAACTAACTGTTTAACGGTCATTCGGTCATCTTGGGGTCACAGACTCTTGTTCTGAGGATATAGCTAAGCAGGCAGATTCAATTAATGTTGATTTCAACGGATCTTAGCATTCGGGATGCACTAAGTCGCACGATGCTCTTAAATGGCCTTTTGTTAGTAAAAATATTTTATTTATATTCCAACTCTATAGAATCCTTATTCTGGTATTATCAGTGTATGCCTATATAGGTATTGGTGTTCGGTAACAGAGAGGTTGACTAAATCGTGTTTGCAAACTGTAACTCATTTCTGCAAGTTTGTAACCAAATAAGATGTAACGTACAACTGTGATGCAGGACACAGGGTTTTACTAGATGTGTGTAAGCCATGATCTTTCCTTAACATAAACGTCTTTGTTATACTCGCTTTATTCTCGAGCATTCTCACTAGCCAATCAGTCAGTTGTCGCATGGAATCGTTTGACTGGAGTTAAGAAGAGGCTTTCCTGAATTCCAAACGCGACGAACCGCGTTGTTTGTTCTCGCGATCACCAATCAGGGGGAATACACTTTTCTACATGCAACTGGTGTGATCTTCTTTTCCTCATCTGCCAGTAGACAACTGCGTTTCTCATATTCCGGGAAGTGTTTAGCATCTTAATGAGAACAATATTTTTCCCTGGATGATGAACAGTATGCGCGAATATGGATTCCTCCCCCTCCCTCTCTAATCTGATAGTCAATCTTTTGACTTTTCGTAATCACAAAACTACATATTCATCCACACCATGAAGTTGTCACCGTGTTTGATTTGCAAATCAGAAGTATGTGTCATGGTGAGTTTGGCAGCTCTCAAAATCAAGTATACTGTCTCGGTGGTTGTATAGTAACCCCCTTGTTGTTGTTGATGATGATGTTGTTGTTGTTGTTAATCTTCATATGTGTATTCGCAAACACTGAAATTGGCTGTAATCTACTTTAAAGTTGATAGCATTGAGTCACTGTTTCCCGAGTGAGTTAAGGATGTTTAACATACAACGCCTTTGACAACACTTTGAGTAATATGTATCGGTTAGTTGTTATTCATTAACCGCTGACGGTGCAAAGCCCGACTAAGATGAACCAAGCCAGTTTTTGCAATGAACGACTGACACAACAGCGTCATCAGAAAAACAAGCCAACAGCATATATTCACGTGAAAGCACCGCGGCGGGTGTTTTGTGTTTCTCCAACTGATTGAGTTTACTTTCCGATCAGATTTGCCAAAAGCTAATTAAGTGATTTTCATCACGAATGACTGAATATAGCTTCTAAATCATTCAGTTAACTTAGAATTGACGATGAGGAAAACGTTTTTCTGCTTTACTTCGATCTCATAAACGATTTACCGATTGCATTTGGGACTGGGATTAGGGTTGTATTTGTCTGTTCGCATAATAGGAGAATAAATAAAGTTCACAACTTAAAAAAAGTGATATGTTTTAAAATCAATTTGTGGCTTGATATTCACGAATCGCGTTTAACTCATACTTTTTTTTGCTATTACTGGGGTGGGACTGTTGTAAATCAATAATATTCACTAGTTCTTGCCTTTGGTATTATTACGGTAACAAAAAAGTACACATGCATTTCATAATCATAGAAACTTCATTTATTTTTTTGTTTACGAAATTTGAAAATTTTAGCAGGGCTGTGGTGACCCTATGATAACATCACTAAACTATCACCACTGGGGTATGCGTTCAAATTCCAACATCGCCGAATGACTTTCTCCCTTGTGTGTTGAATACCAGCCAACTGATCAGCTAATTCCCTCTTTCTGAAGATTTTATCTTTCTATAAATAGAAGTAGAATCAAAAGAAAAAACAAACAAAATAGTTAATAATATATGGAAGAGCTTAGACCGAAAAGCAATGAGACTTTGCTAGGATGAAACATATTATATTTTTATCACTAATGGTATTTATAAATTTCTGATATGCGAAGTTCACCGTACCTGATTTCGTATCCGAATACAGATGAGCTGTGGTTTTCGTGGACATAAAATTCTTCGGTACATGCGCTGGTAGGAACTCGGTAAATTTTGGACACCACCATTGTACCATCCGGATGAGTTACATTCATCTTAGCGGATTTTAACACGGAGACGAACGGCTAGAAAACGTTTTACACTACACAAATAGTTTGCCTGAAAAATTTGCATGCCACTTAGATTCAAATTCCGGCTTGCGGATTTGTTTTTCATGTCCATTCATCTGGGCAAATAATTTATAATGTAAGATAATTATAGTCACCCTGTTGCACACTGATCTCACATTGCTCGTGTTCTTTGTGTCCATTTTACAATCGAACANAACAACATATGCACACACACACACGGAATCCCCTCGTGAAATGATGAAAGGGTTTCGAATAAATCCCATAATTCTATTCCATTTTCAGGAGTCATTCTACTCACTCCTGGTTAAATCGCTGATCACGGCGTCCACATTTATTCTGGTCACCTTGATTGTCTTTTACCACGCGGTTGACATAAAGGTGAGTTGTTTTTCCGGTACGAACATGTTTGATCGAGGAAAGTTATTTGCATTCTTGAATAGGCGCAAATATTTCGGTTCACCTTCTGGCTGGTAAATTTAGTTTTCCAAATACAAGCTAGGAAGTTTTCAATAAAAATGTGACGAGCAATAATGCAATGCTTTAGTCTGCCATTTATTTACAGTTTGGTAGAACCAAACCAGAAATGAGCAATATTAACACAATTCTGAGTATACTCGTTTTGCCTTGCTTTGGTGCCAGGTCTAGCATATTTGTGTTTCCTGCTCTGACTAATAGCTTCAAACTTCAGCTCTGTTGTCGATTTCGACCTCCCGTAATCAGTTAAAATCACTCAGTTCTTGAATTACAAAACCGAACCAGAGGATGTACGATGTAAACGAAATCCATACATCGACCAATCCGCTAACACAATAATATAGAGAATCAGGTTAAAGCAAAAGAAACGCGCATTCTGCAGATTAGAAAATTAAAATGAACCGTAAACTGACAATTATTTTATTTCTGATATTATTCCGATGATGTTTGGCCGACTGTTATGCTGTTGAAGTTGTGAAAAGTTCAGTCACCTCGGTAGGATTTGAACCCTGGCACGCATGGCCCCCCCCCCTATGCTTTTGTCCAGCGCACGTTCTACCAGCTGAGCTACGAGGCCACACCGATAGTAGCACTGATCTTTTCACATTCGAATCACCTATTACTTGATAATTGAATAAATTTATCTCATATTTCTCTGTCGAATCCTGAACCCGTTCTTCTCAACAGCTATTTTCAGTCAATAATTGTATTGAAGATTGGCGCATTGCGACCAGTCCGCGAAAAATGGGTTTTGTCGTTCTCGAAGTATTGCTCTGTATGATTCATCCGCCACCCATATTGTCCAACTACATGTGGCCAAGTGATCAACTTCACTCGGACTCTTCATACGATCATTCATCTCATCCGGATGTGACTTTCCCACCGCCACGATACACGACTGCTGTGCCCGGCGAGCATCATTCAATCTCATCCAAATTACACATTCCTGACACCGAGAATTCCAGTGCCTCTTATGCGACCGTGTTCACCACGCCTTACATCACCAGTACACCACGATTTGTAGAGCATAAATCGGAATTTATCTCACTCGAGTTGAGTTTATCGATTCCAATGTTTTTACGCTTGTACTTGATTTTTCGAGTACTCCTACTCCATTCGACTTTCTTCACGGACGCCGGATCGCGTAGTATCGGTGCGTTGAATCGGGTGAAAATTAATGTGCGATTCGTGTTGAAAACGCTTGCAACCGCACAACCGGGCACAATGCTCCTCATTTTCATTCTCTTCATGTGGGTAATCACCAGCTGGATTATGCGAGTTTGTGAAAGGTTAGTTTACCCAATTGAATCATATGGTTTGGTGTGCTGAGCACCAGTTTCCGTTTACCTCAATGTGGCGTCCCAGTTTGAATCACACCCCAAATTGGCATTATCTCATCATCGTCCACAGTATGTGTCCATTTTGTGTCTGTAAAACACAGATTCGTGTTTTTCCCCACCAAAGAGGATGAGTTATAAGATGGATTTATTCTCCAGCTGCACCCCTCCCCTCTGACCTCTTCTGGATCGTTCAATCCCTTTAGTTTGTTCCGTTGTAGGACAAAGGTGGTACCTGTGCCCGCGAGTGCGTGTGTGTGTGTGTGTGTGTGCGGTTTTCGTAACTATTACACTATTGGTCAGTGTGGACCACATGCAAAGAAAGCACTTTTTCTACCATTATTTGGTTTGTACTGCTAAATACACCAAAAACTAAACTGGTCTAAGAAATGTGTTCTATCGATCCGCTGCGCACAAAAACCCGATCTCGCTCTACCATCACAGATTGCTGGGAACAGCAGCAGCATACGGGCCCGGTACAGCCGGTGTATTACGTGATTTCGTGCAAAAAAAACCTAAAAGGAATCAGAGGGCAGATATTTTTAGCAAATGTCGATAGTACGCTTCCAAAAACTGTAGGAAGAATGTATTGCCCATTTCACTAGGATTCATACTGTATTGTCGGTTATTTTGTGACTAAAATCTGTGCAATATGCAATTTATTCAATAATTGTTTCTCGTAATTCAAAACGTTTTTGATCTGTATTTCTGTTGCTTTAA